CAAGATAAAAACAATCTCTAAATCATGACCCTCTTTCCTTCATTTCTTTTGTTACTTCTTTGATGTTTCTGTTTCATGGAGCTCTTCTTTCGTTTATCTCCACAGAGTGACAGCGGTGGCGATGAAAATGGCTCTGACAACTTCATGCACAGCATGGACCCTCAGCTGGAGCGACAGGTGGAGACAATCCGCAACCTGGTGGATTCCTACATGGCCATTGTCAACAAGACCGTTCGTGATCTGATGCCAAAGACCATCATGCACCTCATGATAAATAACGTGAGTCATCTGTGTGGAGGGCAGCTGCATTAACTATAATCCGCCCACTGAAGTTACAATTTTGTTTACTCATTCTTTTGTTCAGACAAAAGAGTTCATCAACGCTGAGCTGTTGGCTCACCTCTACTCCTGTGGAGACCAAAACACTCTGATGGAGGAGTCTCAGGAACAGGCGCAGCACCGTGATGAGATGCTCCGGATGTATCATGCCCTGCGAGAGGCCCTCAGCATCATCGGGGACATCAGCACCACCACCGTGACCACCGCCATGCCACCACCTGTGGACGACTCCTGGCTACAAGTGCAGCGGGGTGGCTCCGGAGGGAGGTATGACACAAGGCAGAAAAAAGGGTTGAAGCTGCCTTCTGTCATAATCCATGGGCACAAGAAGTTCTTGTGTACATTAGATAACATATCGTATGTACAAGACAACAAATGAAGTTTAATATTATTTTGTGTCATGGTTTGATCAAAAAGGATTTTATTCATGTGATATTTATTTATTTGAACACCTTTTTTACATCGAGTTTCAACACAGAAAATGGCAAAGATGTTATTTTAGATTTAAAATTTGAGGGCTTAATTTCTTATGCTTGATGTCACTATTATGTGTTTCACATCAGGTCTCCTGCAACCAGTCCAACTCCAAACCGCAGGGCTCCTCCGGGACCTCCAGCCCGTCCGGGGTCTCGTGGACCTCCACCTGGGCCTCCTCCTGCTGGGGGACCCCCTGTCCCATCTCGTCCTGGAGCCTCGCCTGACCTCCATGGTGGGCCTCCGCCCACTGTGCCCTCCAGGCCTAATCGTGCACCCCCAAGTGTGCCCAGGTGAAAAAAAAAAACACATACACACACATGAGAACCCCTTAAACACATCAGCTTGTTTTACAGAGAGATTAAGCATTCAAACCACATATTGATATTTTTGTCAGGGGGATGTGAAGATACATGGATGAGGGGATAACAGAGGTTAATTAAATTAATGCGCGCTGGTTGTTTTAGATGATGGATGGATAGACAAACAGATAGCAACACCAGAAAACATGCACCTGTCTTTACAGTTAACTTTGAGGGTGTTTGGGCTGAAGTCTGAAGATGTTTTCCTGAGACCGGACGTTGTCCTAAAACGAACACCGTACTGTCAACACTCAATCGGACATCACCTGCAAAAGCATACACACAGCTGCACCCACGATAATCACAGTTCATCTAAACCTATTTCTCCTCTGGTCTTCATTAACGTGCGCCTCTGCTCCTGTTTGCCTCGAGCTTATCTGTACCTGTAAAGCCAGGTTCACACAACAGGATAATCATCCTGATTTTTAACGTGTTCAGCCCCTTCCAACGATCTTAAGGATGTGTAAGATTACTGTAATGGCCCTAAAGATAATCTTATCAGACAATCCTATCTTGTGTGGTGTGTTACAAGCACTCTGGTTCGCTCTGAAAGACATCAGGACCGCTTCGATCATAAATCCAGGCTTTGAAACATGTTGGATTGTCTTGGTTTGATTTTCGGGGACAAATGAACGTGCTGCCAGTTGAATGTGACTTGCAGCCAATCAGAAAGTGAGATGAAGGAAGCCTGTGTCACGGTCCTCCTCCATGTTTTTTAAGTTCAAAGTCACGTTTTATCTCATGAGGTTTCCTGTATTAGTGAGGAATATCCATGTGTGAAAGTGGTTCATGTGCAGTGTGAGTGATACTTGTTGCACACCACACACTGTAGGACCAAAATAGGTATATCTGTTTTTTAGTCACCAAGAATGCGATCTCTCATGCTTTAAAAATCTTCCGACAAATTAGCAGCTTGCTTTTTTAACTGTAAAGGACACCAGTGTCCCTGAGCTGAGGTCTCACTGGGGAAAAAAACCTAACAAAAAGCAAAATGAATAATCTTTCAGTTGGTTTTTGGGCTTTGGTTTTCCCTTCTCATAAATTTCACATATTCAAGTTTGTCCTAGAGAGCTGAGCACATGGTCAATCCTTGTGTTGTAACAGTTTGAACTTCTTTTCTGTCTTGCTGCTCTTTTTCTTCAACTTTTTTCTTCCTCAACACACCTTTGTCACACACGGTTCTTCCTGCAGAATTACTATCACTAACCAGTGAGGACTAACGTTTCTGGTATGTTGGGTCATCTTCATCATCATCATAAGCTCTAAAGACTTCCTGGAAGTCATCATGTAGCTGTATGATGCTTCTTATTTGTTCTTCACAGCTCACTTCTCTACTTGAAGCATTGCATGACCTTTTTGACGTCTATGCTAATTTGGTTATGACCTAGACTGCAGGAAGTGGGAATGCTTTTCTGAGGACATGGCACCAAGTACAGCGGAATTTAACTGAAAAGTTCAAAGCTGATTAAAGCCTAAACCAGGTGTGGGGAACCCTGGTCCTCGAGGGCCAGTGTCCTGCATGTCTTTGCTCCAACACTTCTGATTCAGTGGTTGGTTCACCTGTTCTGCAGCTCATCAGGCTCTACAGAAGCTTGTTAATCACCTGCTGATTGAAATCAGGTGTGATGATGCAGGGTTGAAACAAAAATATGCTGGATAGCGGCCCTTGATGGACCAGGGTTCCCCACCCCTGGCCTAAACGGTTGTTGTTTTTTCATTATTAACATATTTCAGATTTTCCCTCACAAGCACGCCATCTGTCCTGGGCGTGGACAGTGGGGTGGCCCTTGGGGGCTTGTCGTCCTAGTGACAGAGCCTGGTAACTCCGATGTTAGCAGGGTTTTGGTTTTTATTTATTTGGGTGTTGGTCAGATCATTGTTCAGAACTCATGGAGACCTTAAAGTTTAAATCAGGAACATGAGGAAAGACAAAACACCAAGAAGACAACACCTTTAGAAGACTAACTCAAACTCTTTCTTCTTCTTTGTCTTTTCCGGCGTGTTCATGCCAGTCGGAGACCCCCACCTTCTCCAACCCACTAGACCTCCAAGCTCCTTCCCCTGTCTGTCTGTTCATCCTCTGGATGAGAGGCCTCTGTGGACGACTGCCCCACCCTGCTGACGCCATCAACCTCAAGTGGCCCACACAGGCTCCCTCCCTCCTTCCTCCTCCTCAAAAATAACTCACCTCCTCCTTTTCCTCCGCCTCCCAACCTCCCTCACCTGTCTGTTTACACAAAGATGCAGAATACTTGAATCTCATTTGCTTGGCAGAGTTTTTACCTTAGAGACAATTTAATAGGTCATAATAGACAAATGGGTTATGTAGCACACACATAGAGTAAATCTAAGCAAATTCACTTCAGAACGTTTCTAAAACAGCTTCTTCATGTTTTAGCATGATGCTAATGAGCCTTTCAGTTAAATAGTTTCACTGTTTTCCTTAATAACATTTGTTTTATCATATTTTTTGTTTTATTACTTAAAACTTGCTCTTACTTAAAGAAATACTTTACTTAAAAGTGCAAGTCTAATACTCTTATTGCCTGTAATGTTTGCAGATAAAAGCTATTCCAAACACACAGCAAAGCAATAACGCAATATATACGATGTAAACATTACTTTAACTGGGTCTCAAAAGCATTGTTGGAACCATACCAAGCGAATGCACAACAGAGACCTTAAACTTATTGATAATAAGCCTCATACAGGTGATTTTATGCATGTTTTGACATTTCAAAGACTTTTATCTCGGCTTTTGGAGGAGAAAAATTAGTCATTGTTTATCTCCTTTGCAGAATTTCAAGCTCAGAGATAAAAAAAATCAAAGCATGTTTGGAGTATTTCTTTAAGGGTCACGATGCAAGCTCAACATATCTGGAGAATGCATCATTTAACCTTGGTTTACGTATTATTGTTCATTGTTGAATTGAGGTTTTCATCATTTCTTGTGCTCGCTCCAAAATTATGTGAGAATGCACCCGAGCCCTGTTTGATTAGATCTTAGAAACATGTAATTGATTTCTCTGTTCCTTGTACTGATTTTGTTGGGGTTCTTCACGTTTCCGTCCACTTAAGGTTTTGCTTTGTCTCTTATTCTTTTAAAACTGGGCCAACAAGGGCGTGCCCTCTCATACCGGGAGCCCCTTGCCACCGTTCATCTCTAAGAAGAATGCCCCTTTTAGCTCCATCTTTCTGATTTTAAAATATTCGTTACAACTAAACCTCCACTCACTCTTTCTCTCAGATGAGGCAGGAGGACTGAAAATAAAAGAAAGAAGGAATGGATCGCCTCCTCCAGACCATTCAGGGAAGGGCTGCTTTTTGCCTCCTTGCCATCCTCCTCCTCCTTTGCCTTGGATGCATCTCGTGCGTCAGCCTGCAGGAAGTGAAACTCCTGCTTACCTTCAACACTCTTTAGGAGACTTTCATCCTCACAGCTCTATCCTGAAGCTGCTGCTTGTGCTTTCAGAGAACCTATGCAACAAACCGAACGGTTTTCGCTTTTCCTGAGGAAAATTATCCCCACCTCTGTTTTTTAGCCACATAAATCTTTATTGTGACACAGAAGAACGTGATTAGCTATTTGAGCGGTGGTAGATTTAGTGGCTTGTGTTACTTTTTAAAGGATGGTCAGATGTTATTATCCAGAGGTTCCTGATGGGGACGTCTGGCTTCTACACTCAAAATCAGGGTTGATCACAGAAAGATCAGGGAACCATCTCATCCAACTTAATGATTTGCTTCTTTTGTCTTCCCTTTTCTTTTTTTCTTTCCTTCTCCCAGCGGTCAGGGGGGTGAGTGAGAACACAGTCTATTCACAAAACCCATGATGAGCCCTCGCTGAATTAAATCCTTCGTTGAATCCCTTTTTTTGCTACAGCTGAACTTTGCTGTCAGTGTGATGTGTTGTGTTTTGAGCCCCAAACACCCCTTCCTCTCACACACACACACACACACACACACACACACACACACACACACACACACACACACACACACACACACACACACACACACACACACACACACACACGCGCGCGAATAATTTACCCCACTGCACTCCCTTCTTGTGCATCCTTGTTTTTCACCTCTGCAGAGTAAACTCATCAAAGCATATTGTATTTATTGTTATTTATTTAATTAATGTGCTATTGTTATTATTATTATGTATATGTATGATATATCTTATTGGATTTGTTCTCTCCCATAGGATCTAGTCTGCAGCATATGGATCAGCAGATAAAATTAGTAATTCATGTTTAAGATAGAATATTTAAAAGTAAACTTATAAAATCAGCATTTCAGATGCAAATGATTATTGGGAGGTTGTTTGATGTTGTTGTTTGAAGCTGGGGGAGGGTGTTTTTTGGTTTTGTTCATCTGTGAAAGGAAAGCAACTGTAACATAAATGAGAAGGACTGTTCTACTCCATCATTACAATAAACCCCTCCATGTACTGCATAAGTAAGATGTCTGTCGTCTTGCTTTTCTCTCCCGTCGGGTTACAGCTGAACAGCATCATCATCTTTATTCATAAAAGCCTTGCAGACATATGTTATGCCACCAAGGTGCTGAACTGGACTAAAATAAGAAAATAAAAACAAGAAATACATATAAAACAGAAATAAAAGCCACAAAATACAAGAGGACTAAAATAACAACTAACACACAGAATTAAAAGCCAGATTACTTGCACTGCCAGACAGTGCATTAAGTTCATATTGGGACTGTCTCTGCTATAATCCAAGGGTAAATAAAGTTGACAATTATCAGAATCTTCATAATTATAATAAAACAAGATGTGTGAGTCAGCTGGTCTTCAGGAGTGTTGTAATGAATCCTCGACCATCAGCAAAAAATCCGTTCATAACACACAATTTAAAGAGCAAGTCACCCCCAAATTAACTTTTTTTTCTGATAAACTGTATAAATGCGTGTCTAATCGTGCTGCAGACACGTGTAGTCGATAGTTTTGCACTTTAGTGCATTTGTTCACAGCTGCCCTGGGGCACACTGACAAGAGGCGAGGCTGTTGAGCACTGGCGCCACCGGTCCCTCCGACCACCACCATCAGGCAAGGGGGGTTAAGTGTCCTGCCCAAAGACACAACGACAGCGACAGAAAGAGCGGGGCTCAAACCTGCAAAATTCTGATTACGAGGTGAGCACTTAGCTCTTGTGTCACAGTCACTTTATCTTACTGCTGTTATCCCATGACATATTATTACAGCACTTTGTCTGCACTGAGCAGAGAAAAACATGAATAAAGTAAAACATGATTAAATATGGAAATAGAATTGGAACAATATTACATGTAGCATGTAATTCAAGTTTTGTAACAGTAACTTTTATTTAATAACATTTAACTTTTGTTTTGTACCATGTTACACAACGTGAATTCCATGCTACAAAAGTTACATGTTACAAAACGTGAGTTACATGCTACAAAGTGAAAGTTACAATTACAAAACATGTTACAAGTTACAAAAATTGATACAAGTTACATGTATACATGTAACATATTGGGGCAATATTATATTGTCCCAATCCTAGCTCCATAATTAAACATCACCTTGTAAAGTGAATGGTCATTTTCTATCACTTGAACAAATTTTCAGTCCCTACTTTAAGCCAGGAAATCAGTTTTTTTCTTTTTTTAATCATTTCATATTTTTAAAATATGAAAAAGATTAAAACTACATCTTCAAAAATTTTGAGAGGTCGCTAAAAGAACACCTGATAGTTCAAGTGTTTTAGTGGAATATTTTTTACTGCACAACGCCTGTGCATCACAATAACAAATGAAGACACAGTGCTATGTTGCTAAATCAGTTTATTTCAGAAGGGCAGGAAATAATACTCAAAAAAAAAAAAATCAATGAGCAGCACTCAAACAAATCAGATCACTCCTTCATTCTCCACCAGCCAACACTTGCTTCAAGTTTCTATTAAAACTGATCAGATGAGATACTAACTTATTCCAAATAAATATTTTCTTCTTCTTTTGCCAACCTTTGTATTAAATCACGGCCACCAACATTCTAAATCTGGACTTAAGATATAGTCCTGACTGCCAGGAAATGTGGCAACTGTAGCTCCACCCCCCAAAAACCAAACACGCATCAGGCGTAACAAATATACAATATGTTACACAGTTACAGTATGTACAACACCGCCTTTACAGTAAAGATGGTAGATGCTTCTTCTGTTTTAATTACATATATTAGCAGTAAGTCAGAAAGCATCTGAAATCCTTTCATCCACATTTTTATTCCACACAGCACAAAGGAAAGCATGTTTTAATGTTTACACCCCAGCCCCCCAAAGAGAAAAGGAATGAAAAATAAAATGATAGAACAAAAAAAGGGGATTTTACATTTGAGCACAATGGAGTTTGTTGGGATTTAGGGTTGACTTTCTTTACTTTCCCTAAAAAGTTTTTCCTTTTGCTACGACTCAAGTACCAAATGTTCAAAACTTTGCTCCAATGATAAATAAGTGTGCAATTTCACAGCATCTCAAAATTCAGAGACATTCAAGAGAAGCAAAAAATAAAAATTTAATAGTTGTGAAAGGATCTAATCTGAATCAAAATGGTCTAATTTTTGTTTAAAATGATGCACGGCTTCGATTATAATCCTTCAGGTTTCTTTAATGCCCTAAATAGTTTATATTAGACGTTTTTAACTAAAATAATCGTGAACAATTTAAATGCAAGTTAACATTCTCCCAAAAACAGATTGGTCCCTCACCTATGGAGAAGCTAGCCATTGGATTAGCTCCTATATGCATTTATACACCAAACCCATCCTCAGAGTGCAACACACACACACACACACACACACACACACACACACACACACACACACACACACACACACACACACACACACACACACACACACACACACACACACACACACACACTAAAGTTTCAGGTCAACTCAGCAGAATCCTCAACGTGAAGCTTCATAAGATTCTCGTTCTCTAAAAGCAGAAACTTCACAGCTCAAACGGAGCTGAATGAGAAGCTTTGTACAGGTTTAGTGCAATCGTACGTAAATAATCTGATAGAAATCTAGCAAAAAATAAACAAAAAAGTACAAAAGATGCAATTTTGGCTAAATAAACCCACACCCACAGACACATATACAGTTGTTTAAGGTGTGCATTAAATCATCTTTTGATATGAAGAACCAGCAGTAACAAAAATTATAATAGTGTATTTTTACAAAGCTAGACCCCATGAAACAAGTGGTTCTCTCTGAGATGGTTGACGGGAATGAGACCGGTTTGTGCTGATGGAGCACACGATGCGTTTATTCATATTTATGCTAAAACTGAAAAAATAAAATAAAAGCCTGCAGCCCAAACCTGGAAGGTAAAGTCCAAAATACCACCAACTTTAATTAATTTTTTTTAAACTTGATGGGGTCTTTAAATTGCATCTATGCCCTTATTTAATCTGATCAACCACCAGTTTGTAATGGTGGTGGCTGTTCTCAGTCTCAAGCAGATGTTTAAAACACCACGAAACAAAAACACTTCACAGCTATGAACGGTAGATGTAGAAAGGCCAGTTATTTTCAGTGTTGGACACAAAACAAAAATAAAAAATGAACATGGTGGTTTTTGAACCACCGGCGCCCTCGTCTCTGCCTGAACTTGACTGAGTAACTTCATCCAGCTCTGACCTAGCTTCACCAGTCTGCGTTCATTAGTTAGGCCAGCCGTACTGACGTCCCATCTCTGCACCGTCCTCTTCACATTTCTCTCCCTCTCTCACACACACACACACACACACACACGCGTAAATATCAGGGTTAATACATTCAGTTGTGGTGCTGCTCTTTGGCATGTGTGCAGTGAGGAAAGAAACATTTGCGTGTAAAAAAAGTCACTAATTTAAAGTTCTTTACAGTTCTTTAGGGACTGTACCAGCGAGGGGACCAACTGACGCCCTGTTTTATTGCACATTTGTGTGAGATGGGTGACAAGTAGGTGACACGAATTCAAAATTCGAGATTAATCCATTTGCATTTAAGAAGAATGATTAACTCACATAAAAAATAATTTAAAAAAACAAAAGGGATGATAACAAAAAGGGGCGACTCAACGTAACTTGGACACATTTTTCCTAAATCTGACCAGTTTTAAGGAGTCAAACTCTGTAAGGAGCATTTGTAAATCTGATCAAGAGGCTACAAATGTGGTAAACTGTAGGGGTTAACATCTCAGGACATGTCCACAGCTCACACCACCAGGACCTTGACTTCATCCTGCTCGTCAGGCCGATAAAAGAACGGGATGCAAGGGTTCTCTCCTAGGAAGTGGGGTGACCTCTGAGCCCCCTGTGGGTTCTGGATCTCCTGGAGGAGCTGCATGATTTGCCAGGCTGTGCCATCCTCCTTTGGCCCCAGTGGTTTGGATTCAGTCTGAACAAGTCCACGTGATAGCGTCTGGGATGATGAAGCTTCAAGACCATTGGGAGGCTCAGACAGCGGGATGACCTCCATGGCTTCTGTGGAAAAGAAAAACTAGTGAACCTCTGCAAATATATAGAAGAAATTCACAATCTGTCTGAAAATGACAATTTGTGTTGTTGTTACAAGAGCACCTGAGCAAAAGCATCACGTTTTCTGTCACTTTAATACAGACAAAATTATTGGACCATTTTGTAAAGGGTCAGTTTAAAGATTCCATTCACCAAATTTGCCTTTTTGAAGCCTGAATTAATCAAAAATTAAATGAGAACCACTAGAAATCTAAGAACGTCTCACCAACCTTCTCAGAGGCCTAGAGGTAGAGTGTCTGCTAGGGCTGGGCGATATGGTCTAAAATCAGTATCACGATATAGTGAGGATTTAACCTCGATAACGATAAATGGACGATAACTACAGGTATGCACAGAAACAAAAGTTGTCCTCTATGTTTATGTTTATTTATTTGGCAGACGCTTTTATCCAAAGCGACGTACAATTTTTAACTTGTAGGTCATGCTGTGATCTGTAGGGGAAACCGGAGTGCCTGGAAGAAACCCACGCATGCATGGGGAGAACACGCAACTCCACGCAAAAAGGCCAGGGCCGAGTTTCGAACCTGCAACCTTCTTGCTGCCAGGCAAGAGTGCTAACAACTGCTCCACCATGCAGCCCACTAGATGGGGCTGTCACATGTATTATGTTGAATCACATTTTTATGTGACTCAAGGTGGTATAGCATCTTAAATGGACATGAACGTTGCCAACCTACACAAATTTTCATTGTTTTATTATCAAATTTATTGACATGGGAAAATTTATCTCGATAAGAGTCAGAAATTTCGATAAGGATAAATTTTCGATTTATTGCCCAGCCCTAAGAGATCGTGGTTCTAGTAGAGTTGGGTCGTACCAAAGACTTTAAAAATAGGGCCCAATACCTCCCTGCTTGACACTCAGCTTTGCGGGGCTGGATTGGGGGGGGGGGGTTAAACCACCAAATAGTTCCTGAGCGCAGCCACAGCTACAGCTCACCGCTCCTCAAGGGAATGGGTCAAACGCAGAGATGAATTTCATCAGTGTGTGATAACTAATTGGACTTTTACTTTAACAGTGCCACTAAAAAGAGAAACGAAGCTGAAATTGCAGCGCTCAGTTAGTGATTTAGTGCATCTACTAGTGCTCACCGTCTCCACTGACGGCGTGAACCTCAGATCCTGTTTGGTGCTCTGAAAGAGAGTGGTCCTGTCCAACAGGAAGCAGGTCTGGGTTGACCGCCCCCATGTTGGCTACAGCTCCAGCGTAGCGGTTGTACCAGTCGTTCCTCTCAGCCACCAGCCTCATGACCAGATCCTGCAGCTCTGCTAGTTTGACCTAATAGATCAGAGGTAAGCATCAGTGAACAGGAAACACTACATTTAATTCTAAAACTGTTAAAATAAACCAAGCTTTAATGAGAAATTTAGGCTGCACAGTATCAATCTAAATAAAGACATTTAATAAAATGTTCAATTCATCGCATGAGTTTCATAGTTAATACGTGATTATTATCAAATTAATTGCAAATTATGAATGTAGGTAACATGATAAAGTTCATGCTCCTCATGTTTTAGAAATGTATTTTACTTTTCTTTTTGTTTTATGTTCCTTTATTATTGTTTACAGCATATTATACAACAAGCATCTGTAGAAATGTATGTATCATTCCCCATTTTAGTTTTTCATATATTTTCATCGTTCAAGTGTGGGATGAAAAATGCAAAGAGAGGCAAAAGAAAGGAAAACATTCAATTTGAGACCAGATTTCTTTGAAAATGTTATGAAAATCTCTTGTTACACTAATTACATAACTGAATTTACTGTATTGTATATTGCTACAAGTAAATATTGGGATATTTAAGCGTGTTGATAATTAATCGATATTTAAAAGCCGTGAATCAATTTTTTACGTAGAAGTTTCCAAGCAAATATTTACTATATTTTTTGTGTGGTGCAATTCAAACTCCGACAGCTAGGTGGCAGCAGTTTTTACCGCCTGCATTCTGACCAAGCCCCCACAATGCGTCTCAAAAATTGAGCCCAACCCGGAAGTACCAAAAATTGCAGTTCCACCCTCATCCGCTGGGGGCTGGTGTCAGAAGCGAGCAAATCCTCATTGACTCCCATGTTAAAAATACCAATTTCACAGCAGAAATAAACATGTTTACAGCCTGGTACCAAAACATGTTTTTGGTTGAAATGATCTAGTTTACACTCATGACAACTCTGAGGGGGGTGAATTTTTTTCTCACTCTTCGGTTTAAGTGTATTAAAAGCCTAAAATTCTGTATAATTAATGAGCATCAGACCCACTTGACCACAGAGCTAGCTCCGTGGAAATGCCTCAGTAGAGCCTCGGCCTGGCCTGGAAACTGTTCTGGGATTTTTAGTCTTTGTGTTTGTGTATTCTTTTTTGGATATTATTTGTGCAATTGTTGGACAAAATGACTTGCTGTGGCATTAATTGCACTAATAGAGCGTCCAAGGAGTCTCCACTTCATTTTTTTCTGTAAGTAAAATTATATTTATGTATTTTAGGTCACTGCCGAGCTGAGCTTAGATTTTAACATGTACTGTTTAACCATGAAATTTAAATGTAATAGGGTAAAACCCAGTGCATTTAACATAATGCTGCACTTTAGAAAATGGGTGGAAATATAACATGTTGGTGGAGCTGGGTTCCGACTATCAGCTTGTGGAGCTCTCGGGAGACCGATGTTTTCCACCCGGTTCTCCCCTCCCCGCAGCTCGGCGCAACTCTGTCTGATCGCGGCTTCTGTCTGCTGTGCGGGCTGCCAGCTTTCAGCAGCTCTCGGGAGATCTCTGTGTTCCACCCGGTTTTACCCAGCGGTCAGCCCAGCGTATCTCTGACTCAGAAGCTCTGGTGTTGTGCACAGTTAACTCCGGTTGTAGCTAGGTTGCTACCTCTGTTAGCTTAGCTCCCACCTCCGCGTTAGCTTCAGGTTAGCTTGTAGCTAGTTCGACCGGGTGTCGTCAGTTGATCCCAGCCTTACAGCCACACCCTCAGCTCCACCTCTCTTCCCTTTTGTGGAATTGTCTGGGCTTGACGGAACCTGTGACACGGTCAAAATGGCGGTGGTGGCCACCTCCCATTTTGGCTCAAAAACGTATTATTGGTGCCTATGGAAACCCATTGTCCAATATTTATATGTCGATGATTCTGACGCAGCAACACAATCTGGCACTAAAGCCTGAGTCATGCTTCTCCGTCAGCTCCAAAAGGGAGAGACACGCACGGGCGGAGACATTTGACCTCATACTTCTCCGTCTCCTGGGGAGTGTTGGAAAGCAATTCCCCGCCAGGACAACAGAGGGTGTAGCGCTGTTCTGTGGTATCCTGTCATGTATCCGGTCCAAGATAGTGTGTTTATATTGTTTTTTGGAGACTTTTTAACACAGACAAATTTGTCTCTCATTCTCCTCCACCTTTTCATGGGCTCTCCACCTCTAAACCCACGTTTCCTGTCATTTCCGTCCACAAAAAAATGCTTGCTGCATATCTTTTTACTCCTCCAGTCACGGGGGAATTAAACGTTCATGTTTTTGGAGTTTTTTCACGAGGTATTCTTAAAGCTTCTTCGTGTCTGCCGCTAGTTATCCTCGGCTCTCTTTATGTTTTTTTTTGAGGGAGCAATGGCGGCGGTGTAGACGACAGCGGTACCCTGACCAATCACAAGCTTGCATTCTCCGTCTTGACGGACGGATGCTTAGAAAAGAGAGCTCGACTCCATCCGTCCTAGCAGGGACTCTCCAGCAGGCCCGCAAGGACAGATAATGGCGTTGCGTGTCTCCGCACTGACGCAGAAGCATGAATCAGGCTTAACACTGGCTGTGTCTTGGAAGCGTCTGGCCTGAGTTTTCTAATCAAACAGATGCTCCTGTACACACAGATACTGCTTCACGATAACACGTTAACTTTTTAAGTGCTAATTATAATTTTATTATATTTACAGTAAAACATTTTCCAACCAGGTAAAAACACCTGCATCCACACGAGTGACTATACAACCTTCATCTCTTCCTTGTCCTGGGCCAGCATGCTGATGTACTGCTCCTTCTCTTGGTGCTTCTGCTTCATGATGGCTCGCTGACTCTGGTACAGGGCGATGTATTCCCCTAAAGGAGAAACAGGCACACAGTAATGGTGAATATACACCAAATCGAAATTTAAAAGGGATTTTCAGCATGACGCTAATGTCCAGCCTGACCTATAGTGTCGGTCTCTCCAGACAGCTGAATGCAGCGGTGCTCTAGTTCTTCAACCCGCTCCTTCAGATCAGCTTTCTCCTGCATCAGGGAGGTGAAACGCTGCTGAAGCTTCTCCATTGCAGCTTGTAGAGCCTGATGTACCTCCACTGGGACGCCTCCATCTGGAGGGTTTAACACGGAATCACAGAACGTTAAAAGCGAGTCACATTAATTTACTCGTCAGAGTGGTGCAGTCCTGGTGAAATCCAATACAAACCACTTTAATTGTGTCTAACCTGGGAGTTCATGGCTGTGTTCACAATGGGTGTGCTGGTCCTGATTCTGGTCCTGACCATTTTCATGAACAGGTCTGTAGTTTAGATGTTGCTGCTCAAGCCGGAGTGCCACAGCGGCTTGTTGCCGGGCCGCCAAGTGGAGCCTGCGCTCTTCCTTCAGTAACTGCTTGACCTCATCTCGTTCAGCTTCTAGCTGTGCCAGAGCACCACGAATAAAGTCCTCCTGTTGAGGGATCAGAGTGTCAGCAGAGGTGTTGAGGTGGAGCTTTGATGTTCAAGGTTTGGAAAAGAGATTCATCTCAACTCATTCACTGCCATTGACGACAAAAGTCATCATTTGCATTTTTTTACGGTGTGGGCATCGGAACGAGCCCCCGCACTGTGAGAACAAACATCTCAGCTCCAAAGCCGATCTTCATCCGCATACGTCACACGTCACGTGATCAGGAAGCAGAGAATCCATTGTGTTAGGAGATCAGGACATTGTTTTGGGTCGCTGCTGTAAAAAAAGTGATGCACGAACCGGAAAAGCTTCTGCCGATCACAATTCAACAACGGGTTATGAAAGAACAGATAACGCTCGAAACGCACAGATTCTTCCTGATGTAAGAGGTGAGTCTACTCTTTGTTTTGGTTGTTTTGGTGTTGACATCATCCTAGCGTGCAACGTTCTGTGACTCAAAAAAAAAACGGTGAGAAATGCTGGCAGTGAAAGGCTTTACCGATCAGGAAACGGCTGGCAGCGAATGAGTTAAAAAGCAGCCTGACGCTACTTGATCCAACATGTTTGCCCTCTTGGTGTAATGTATAGTATATCAGATAAGTGTCATCCTCACAACTTGGAACATATTTTTATATTGATCCACAAACAAAGAAAAGAGTTTATCAGACATCTTACCATCTCTTGCTGGCTCTCAAAGTCTTCTGGAATGACAATGGATGAGGACTGTTTAGGGCTCTCCTGCTCCGATTGATTTTCCACTCCATCTCCTAAATTACACAGAAAATTAAATCAAACACTTCACAAAGACCCTTCATAAACACCCCAGGTAACAACTACAAAGCTCCTTTACATGGAGATGTTCAGCATTGCTGCTATTGTAGATCAGACTGAATTTGCAGGAATCTTCATCAAGTCAACGGTACATTGTTCTAATGTGAGGACACACACAGAGAAAGAAGAAAACACACCTTGGTCTCTGAACGTCTCAAGGGCCGAGCTGTTAAGCAGCTCCTTCACCTCCGTCTTCAGCTGCTGGTTGTCTCTGACCAACTGTTCCAAATGCTCCTGCAACAGCAAACGCACAACATCACTCAGATACAAACACCTGTGAGTGTGTTGGTATCAGAAAGTGGTCAAGAGGTAAAAACCAGAACAGTAGAAATAAAAAAAAGGACATAAATGTCTTATATGCATTTTTACCACTTTGATTTATTCCACGGAATATTCCAGTTGTGTTTTAACATTTTGTTGCAACAAATAGGATTTTATTTGACTAATTTCTCCTTTTATTCTGACAATTGATTCTTATGAAGACATCATGGTAATAAAATGACAAATCTTCCCAATAACAACGAAAATAGGAAATGAAAGTCATCGTCAGATGCCTGACACCCACAGACTTGATGTAAATAAAAGGTCAGTATTTAACTGGACATGGTTGTTTTAATAAGACGATGTTGTTTGTACAGCATGTACCTGTGCTTGTTTGAGCTGATTCTGGCTGATGTCCAGCTGTGCACGGCTGTGACTTTCGTCGTGCTGCAGCCGATCCATGAGCTGGCTCTGCTGCAGATACTGTTGGTGGATCCGTTCTCTCTCTGAGGCCAGAGCCTGGTAGTAAGCGCTGTACTGCTGCAGATGGGCCACCAGCTGATCTCGCTGTTCTAGGAGACCTTGAGTCTCCTGACCCTTCAGCTCCAGCTGGAGGAAAAGAAAGGCAAAAGGATGTCAGCACCACAATGTAGAAGATCCTTTTAAGCCCTACCTCCATCTGCAATTGTGTTAATATAAGCTGCAGAAAAGTGGTGCACATTATAAACTAATGACAGGACAAATGAGTTAGTTTTGTCTCATATTAGTGTAAAAGTGCAGTGAAATGACCTGCTCTTTGATGTTGTGCAGTTCCTCCTGAAGTTCACCCATCCGGCGTGCCAGCTCCTTTTTAACGTGCTGCTCTGACTGGATGGCAGTGGTCAGCTCCATGTTCTCGTTGGTCTACATGATGAAGAAATTTGATTTTAATCTTTTGAATGACACAAACTCACACACGCAAAAGAAGAACATCAAGGAAGACAAACTTACAAAAAAAAATTCTTGGAATCACTGAAAGAGGAAAAAAGAGGAACTACATATCGTAAATCCTCTAATACAGGCCGGTATTCAATTAAAGGTCGGGTCTCCAATTTTGGCCGGTGTCGGAGTCGGCGGAGGTGAATAATGGCCGGTCTCTTATTGTGGCCGGGTGGAATGTGGTAACAAGCAAGTACGGGGGCGGTTGTGTCATCGTCTCACTTTTGATTTGCCAGTGATAGACCGCGAGGGTAACTTTAACCGTGCGGAGATGAAGAGGAGGCGAAAATTTGATATAAAGTTCAAAGAGAACGTGCTGATTATGCTGCAGAACACTGGGGAGCAGTAGGGGTTGTATGAACTAGTCGACTTCACTATAGGGACTTATGCCTGTCATCGACTAGTCGCTGTCACATGAAAATGACCGGCAAGATGCAGCCCTCGGAAAAGACAGCAGCCTGCTGTCAGCAGGTGACAAGCTCCTGCGCTCGGGGGGGGGGGGGGGGGGGGGGGCAACGCGCTGTGCCAGAGCGTCGGTACTGACACGCGATTGTTCATGTCAGTTCATTTCCTTTAATGTTTTCTGTCTTTTATTTGCGCCTGATGTGTTTCGCTGTGGAGCGGGGCGCATCACCTTGTCATCCGGTGACGCACCGATCACTGATGCGGCCACCAAGCAGCGAGCGCTCCGCTGTTTTTGCGGTCGGTAGATCTTTCAGAACTGCAGCTCAAAAGGTAACTCATAAGGTGAATATATATGAACCCAGGTAGCAGTTTTTCTTTAGGACTGAGAGGAGATGCAGGAAGATAATAAACAGACAGGACAGAAAAATAGTCAAATAAAAACAAGTTAGTTTTTGTACCTGGTGGTTGCAACAAACAGACACCATTGAAGGTAATCAGAAGTGAGGAACAGAAAATGAAATAATTATTTTAATGTTTAGAGCAGTAGGAACTCTGAGAGGCTGCAGGCGCATCAGTGAGTTTGCGGCCGCTGCGCAGGGGGAGGGGGGAGAGGGCGGAAGCAGAAACTGCCGTTGTTAAAAGAAATGTGTTTAACTTTGAAAATGTGGGCGCAATTTTAATTGCCAAAAACTCCAGCGAACCATTAGTTCATTTTGCTCAAATAGAAATTGAGGCTTGCCTCTAATTCTGGTCCTCCTTCCAATAAAGGCCTGGAGCTTGATGAGCTTGAGTCAAATACAGGGCCGGGCCTGTATTAGAGGATTTACGGTATATATATATATATATATATATATACCGTAAATCCTCTAATACAGGGCCGGGCCTGTATTAGAGGATTTACGGTAATTCAACAAAATAAAAGGTCAGAATTTCAGCCTCACCAGTTTGACAAAGCCGTTCTGCAACTCCGCCAGCTGGTCCTTCAGCGTACGATTCTGGGTGAGAGCCCGGCTTATGGTGGCCTTGTCTGACTGAACATCCTCCAACATGCGGCGGCGGTCTTCTGCCTCCTGGGCTTGGCTCTCCACTTGATGCTCCATCTCCCCCAGACGAGCCTCCTGCTCAGCACACAGACGACTTAGCTGCTCGTTGTCTCGAAGCTGGTGGAAATATACAGAGGGTTCAGATGAACCAAAACCTTCACTAATGACCAAAAACTAAAATATGATGGGACATTGAATTGATTTATGGACCAATATCTTCAGATAAAGCAACCTGATGCCTACCTGAGCCTGGTACTGTGCCGTTAAAGAATCTTTCTCCTGTTGTAAACTAGCGAGAGCTTCCTGAAGAGCCACCTCTCTCTCTGATGGTTCTGAGGACGAAGGCTCTGCAGCACCTACAACTTCTTTCTCCACAGATAATAACGCTTAAAAATAACAGAAATATCAGGTTTAGTGACACATTTACAGGGAAATATACCAGACCAAATTTTACCTATTTATTCCCAATATTTAATCTTCAACATTTTTATTGCTTAGTTTCAAACAAAATTTAGGACTAACCTATTACTATAAAACACGGTAAATGTTTGGAGACACAATTTTAGGCATAAGAAATGACAGAAGGATATAAAAGTGCATTTTTGGCATTTAAAAAAAAACGATTAGAAATAATTGAAAAAGCCTCATATTAAGTGGCTCTCATGAGGTTCAGACTAGCATGTTGCATGATTAAACACTAAAGACCTGCATGGAATAATCATCGAACATCAAGGAAAAACATCTGAGAAAAATAATAATTTTTGAGTTTCGTTTCAGCTTAGCAACAATTATTCCTTTAATCAGTCATGAGTAGCATAGTCTATTCTGCCCTGAATGAAAACAAAAGGCTTTTAAAAAATAAAACACCAATCCAGATGTTTGCATCACACAGATTTTGCGACTGGATGGAACATGAAGCATGAGAGGACAAAGCAACTCTCACCTGCAGCATTCTGAAGCTCAGCGATGGAGGCCTCCAGTTCCATAACCCGGTTTATGTTTCTGTCCCGCTCCTCCGCCACCAAAGATACCTTCAAAACAGGAACAAACAAAAATAAATTAGGATTTAATTAATATTACTTTGTGTGTGTCATTTATGCTAGTGCTCTTGTACCTGCATTAGCAGCTGTTCTGTTTTGTCCTTCCACACTCGTCCCTCCTCCTGGATCCGTTCTACATACCCGTCTCTTTCTGTCTTCAGCTGGGCAACGGACTCCATTAGCTACAACCACAGAGATAATGGTACCCTGTTATCTAAATACATGCTTATGGTAACGATCAATCAATCGTACATCTCTCATAAAACAACTATCTAATGTTTCACAGTCAACCGAAAACCAATAATGAACAAGTAATGAGCTGATAAGAATGAGTGATACATAAATTTTCCCAGGCAATATTAGTCAGTTTAAAAAATGACCATGGGTGATGTTTAGGCGTTTGTGGAGTTGTAACTCAAAACTTCAACTCAAATTAAGGCTGGGTAATAATTTGAAAATGTATCATTATCAAAATTTCTGACTCTTACCGAGATAACTTTTCCATGTCAATAAATGTGATAATTAAAAATATAAAGACGTGTGTAGGTTGGTGATGTTCATGTGCCTTTAACCCTCCCACTGTCTTTATGGGTGACCCCACGAGGAAAGTTGACCATTGAGCAGGATTGATGGTTTATCCCTTGAGGTCCACGTGGCATGGATGAGGAGTGAGCACTACCTCACCCCTACCACGTGGACCTAGGTTAGAAGCTGTACCATAAACATAACATAAACATGTGACTCAACGTAATACATGTGACAGCCCCATCTAGTGGACAACCTTTGGTTCTGCGCATACCTGTAGTTATCGTCCATTTATTGTTAAGAGGTGAAATCACCAATATATCGTGATATTGATTTTAGGCCATATCACCCAGCCCTAACTCAAATCTACTTAAATACATACAAGGAATGAAATGATGCAGTAACACAGGAAAATAGCATTTAAAAACCAAACCTGGTGGTTTTGTGCCTCTAGATGTTGCTTTTCTTCCAGCAGTAACTGGACCTGTTGGCTGGCACTGGTGGGATCTGACTGGCTGGAGCACTGTGGAGAAATTCCAAAAATCATATGTAAAATGTTAATTCCAGGGCAATTTTAATTATATTAGCATGTTTCTACGTTGTCCATTGCACATTTACCATTTCTACACTCTATTGAACGAGTCAAAACAAGAAAACAAAGATAAAAGTTCCAATGTAATGAGTGACTACCATAATAAAGTAACGTCTAATACTTGCTACCAAACAAATTAATAACAAATAAAAGCTTTTGTCTAAAAACTGTGTTTAACGTTCGACTACTTCGTTGTCGGATAAATGAGATGAAATGTGAAAATGTTTATAATACCTGTTGTAACATGAGGTCAGTGATCTCTAACCTCTTGCGCAGATCCTCTACCTCCAGCCTCATCGCAGCATTTTCTTGTGTACTCCGCTTTACCTGCTCAGACAGCTCAGAGTTCTGCTGCTTTGCCTCTTCGCCCACATTGCTGTCGAAGCACACAAGATCACTTACTACTTAAAACATTCTTCCAGGATTTAAGACGTCTGCATATTTCAGCTGTTGCATTATTACATATTAAATATAAGCTGTGGAGAGGGGATTCTTGCTAATATTCAGCTGTAAAACTACAGAAAAAAAAACTGTTATCTGTGTGAAAACTTACTTGAGTCTAAACATCTCAAGCCTCAAACTGTCTCTTTCCTTTTCAAGTTCTTTGTTTTGCTAAAGAAAAAAACAAAAACAAATTCGTGACACTTTATAAACAAATATGATTTAAAACAATATTTAAGAGAGAATTAAGTGAAATGCTTGTTTGAGGGTTATTTTTCTGCAGCTTCAATGCAATAGATAGGAATTTCCCTGCAGGATTTTGCCTTTAATTGTTGATATAGACAGTTAATTATTAGTGAACTCGGTGCATGATGCTACCTTCTCAAACTGTTTCTGCTGTGTTGAGACGGTAGACAGAGTTCTCTCCAGCTCGGAAACTCTCTGCTTTGTTGCCTGCAGACGGTTATTAAGCTCCTCTACTTCACCTACAAATTCAGAAATAACACACACACACACACACAGTCACAAAATTAGGCAACTGTAAGGACAGAAGATACAAAACACACACACACACACACACACACACACACACACACACACACACACACACACACACACACACACACACACCTGTTTTCTGCCGAGCGGCCTGCTGTGTGTATTGTAGTGCTGTTTGCAGCTCAGATTTCTCCGATACCAGTATACCGATGGTCTGAATATGAACCTTGGGAGAGGACAGATAAACAAAGAGGATGCTTCTTCATGCGACTGGATTATATTAAGATCAAATCTCAAATTAAACCTAAATCTAAAGTCTTACATGTTTAAGCAGCAGATGGGGATGGGAGAGTTGGAATGTAAAGGATGAAAACAGGCCTTCTTTCCATTTAAACAACAATAACAAATGAATGCACTAACTGACAATAGAGATAACCTCCATACTAGTTTGACCTGTTATGACTCAACCGCATGAATCCTAAAAAACGATTCAGCCAAAAACAAGAGAACCTTTTTGCGACGAGAATTCACCTGCAATTGCTCCCGCATGGCTCCTTGCTCTTTCGTAAATTTCTGTTCAAATTCTTTTCGCTCCTGAAGGCAGAGAACAGCACACGATGGAGGTGAGCATCAAGAAGACGAGAAGGTAAAAAGATGATCTAGGAGTAAACATGAGGTTTCTAGCAGGAGTGTGAAAATCCTCCAACCTTCTGTAGCTGATCTGTGAGTCCCTGGGATTGCTGCACCTGCCAAACAGACAAATTAGGAGTTTGGCTTTAATAATACAAATACTTTCCCAGTCTCAACATAAAGACATCATAAAACACTGCAAAAGATCTCATCTGCATGCTAGAAACAACACTGCTGTGCAACAAACAAAAAACTGTTCAAAACTTTGAGTCTGTTGTCATTAGAGGGCTAAGCTGGCTTAACAAGTCCCAACTTTCATGCCAAAACAAAACGATAATGACAGTCAGGGTCAAAATGTGAACTCAAAGGGCAGCTGGTGTTGCAGGTGCTTGGATTAATAGTTTAAAAAAACCTGAGCAGAGGATGCAAATGAGAAAATAAAGAAATGATGGCATGCAAAGTGTGTCACAATAAATAACTGTAGAAGGGAGGAAAGGGTTAACAACATGCACGCACACACACGCACACACACACAGCTTCTTACCAGCTGCTCTAGGTTGGTATTGAGCTGAAAATTTGTTAGCTTGCAAGATTCCAGGGCGGCTGTCAGCTCCTGGTTCCGACTCTATCACGTGCACGCATGCATCCGGGAAACAAAAAGGAAAGAAAAAAAGACAGTGATAAAGTGTGGTGACTAAAGTCAAACAAAGAACACAGGAGCAAGAAAAATATTCAAATGTAGAAGATTAACATGAAAGCAAACAATGGAACTGCTATAGGTGGTGATGAATAAAAGAATATTTTCACAATGAGAAGTGACACAAACAAAACTCCAATCTGGAGTCTGATACTGATGCATGCATTAGGATACTATCATGTAACAATGAAACAGTATCTGTGGCACAGCCACAGACAGATACAGGCAGGGACCAGAACGTCTGGAATAACAAACAAGTAAAACTCAAGGGTGAAATATCAAGAAAAAGAAATTTGTTTTCTTTTCACCTCTAGTTCTTTCTCACTGACTGAAGGTGCACTCTCTCCATTCACGTATGCAGCAGTTGACTGGAATAACAAGAAAAGGATGATTTATACGTGATCAGTGTGTGAGTAGGCTAACATGGTTGAGCTGGCCTCATTTGCATCCCAGCCCAACTTTCACCACCGTAGGTGATTTTAAAAATAAGTATTAACATTTAAAAATTCACTGCTACAAGCCAAAAGCCACAGCAAAGCAGTGATTAGTTCGGCTAATAACTCAGTAAGATATGAACTGGTAACAATGACAATGATCTGAATCATTTTAAAAACAAAACCAAAAAGCAAATTTTGTACTTCTGATTGTCACAAAACAAAAAACAAGTTCAGAGAAGATAAGCTGGCTGATAACTCTAGCAGTCTGCTTCAGGTCATCAAAAAAGGAAGGACAAGAGAGAAGTTTCTTCCCAATAGATGCAACACACACTGCTTGAGAGGAGGTGATGTATTTGTAATAAAATCCCAACACTGCATAACAAAGAGGAGGACAGTGGTGGGTGTAACGGCTTACCTCGGAGACCAGACCGTTCAGCTGCTGGGAGAGTTGTCTCAGGCTCTCAGTGGAAGACAGCGGTCTGCTGGACAGGAGACACACATAAACACCCAACCGAAAAGCAACAGCAACCACTTCACACCACAAGCAAAAATAAGGCTCTTTAAATCAAATCAACTGGATTAATGAGAAATTAAAGCCTGTTGGGGTTGTTGTCAATAACCCTTTCCATTAAGTGCTGCTAAAAATAAAGTTAGTTTGGTGTTGTATTTCAATTTATTGTAAACAGTTAATGTAGTCTTAAGCTTTTCCATGATGACCTTCCCTTTTTGTGACTCCCAAAAACAGTAAAATGAGATAAAATACAGGAAATCACTGCAGCTGTGTGATTAGGGCTAAAAATGTGCCAGTTTATCCAAGATAGGTAGAAATGGGACATTTTAACTGCCCACACACACACACACACACACACACACACACACACACACACACACACACACACACACACACACACACACACACACACACACACACACACACACACACACAGATCCAAAAAGAAACCCAGATAACATTTTACAAGAGCTCTCAATCAATTTCTATCTTCTTTAAATCAAATGTGAATTATCGTGACAAAACAGAGATAGATCTGAGTGGGGTAACTCACCTATTTTCCTCCTTTAAACTCTCATTTCCATTGGTGTCAGAGAAGGCCTGTATATGGATAGAAAAGAAAATGCAAAAAGAAAAATAGATACAGGAAAAGATGATAACATTTAACAATACGAACACAAAACATGTCAAAAAACATTTTAATTCTTCCTCTTAAAATGTAAAAAAGGGAAAAAACTATGTAAAGTAATCAACACCCCTGATAAACACATAATGGTTTATATTGATGGAGATGCAAGTAAATCTGGTAGATGTGTTTTAAAATGCAGAGGTGGAAACAGGGCATAAAAGGAGACACACACACACACCTGCAGCTCAGTGTTGTGACTGACAAACTCAGAGTTAGTAGCAGTGTTAGCATTTGCGGGGTTAACAGGCTCGCTGTTTGGCTCCTCCTGCAGCTGGGCAACAGAAGAGCCCACAGCCTCCATGTCAGCAAAGATCTGCGACAACACACACACACAAATACACACTGTTATACTGTCAAGAGCTAATGGCAACAGTGACATTGCAACAGTTTCTGTTCCAAACATTTAACTAGGTTAGAAACTATGATTTTAATATGAGCTCAGTGTATGCAACATTGAAAATTACTATTTTTAAAAGCAAGCAATACTGAAAAATGAGCACAAGCACACACACACACGTGCACACCATTTGTTAATCCAGTGATGCATGTCTACATTTTGCATTTAACAAGAAACGCCAAAAACTTTATTAAGATGAATTATGAGACAAAAAAAGTGAAAACACTTGTGCAACATACAGTATAAAGTTTTCTTGATGGGTTTAAAAGAAGCAATGCCTAGGAAAGACTACTTCTATGTGACAAAGTTTATCATGTGATGCAAGAATAAGGAAATGGAGCAGAAGTTGCAAATTAAAAAATAGAAACACGTTTTTACAGTAAAAGGGGTGAAGAAAACCAAGTAAAGCAGAAAGAGAGGGACAGAGGCTCACCTGACAGGTGCCATTAGGTGGGAGGACTACTCCATTGCTCTGACTAAGTGCTTTCAGAAAACTGTCAAACTACAGCAAAAAGAAACAGAGACTAAGAGAGAGAAGAGACAGGCCAAGGAACAATTTACCTAGTGACAGAGGCAAGCAAGCGTGCACAGAGAAGCAGCTACCACGGGGGAGAAGCTCTAGATGCGAGTGTGCAGGAAAAAGAAAATCATGGGAACTACTATCCTGTCCAACAGAGTAAAACCCAGTCAATTTTTTTTTATTCCACCCTGATGGTTTCATTTTTGTTTAAAGGGGACAAATGACTTTTTTCTTAAGGTAAAGGCAAAAGAATGCAAATGGTGAGTTTAGCATAATGTCCCATTTGAAAAGGTGACTTCGATTGTAAAATGTATGTTTACTGTTTTTTAATGACCTAATATAAATCAAGCCATGCAAATTAAAAATTTAATCAGATATAATTAAGCTCTTGGAAACCAATATACAAACTAAGGTGAAAAGGCCCTCCAGTAAATACATTTACAAGGCACTGAACTGAGTGGCTGTAATGAAAGTGAGGCAGAAGAAGGCTTACAGAAGGAAATGGGAAGAGAAAAGATGTTAACAGAGACAGGAAGTTCAGGTTGGGACAAAAATAAGAAAAACGGACACCCTGGCAATTCCTTACAACAGGTAAGTGCTACTGCAAAGTGTACGTCCTTTTCTAGTGAACGTAACCGACTCAGTTTCTTTATGTCTGCTGAAGTCAGTGTTACTACAGTGAGAAGAACAGTAGCAGCTGTCCAAAGACTGAGTAAAAATGCAGGTCAAATGTCACCGAGTTGAGCCGAGCTATGAGCACGTGATGTCTGAAAGCAGTACACATGAGCATACCGTCGGCTTCACTTCAGTTACAACCATTTATGATAGAGCCACACCAAAAACACTGATATGGGGTAGTAGGAAGAAAATATGGCTAAAAAATAAAACACCAATCACAACATGTGACTGGCAACTATTTGGTTCTACACACATCTTATTGCATTTAAAAATAGTTAAATCACAAAGCAATAGCTCTGTTAAAAGCATTGTTATAATGCGCCCTTGGGTGTCCTGAAAGGCGCTGTTAAATAAAATGTATTATTTTTATTATTATTATTATTAAATATGAAAAAAAGCTGCAACTCTTAGTGCTAAAATGATTACCTAATCACAACTGTTTGGATTTGTTTTCTCCTGAATGCATCTTTTCTACAAACTGTAAAGAGATGATTGTTCCTCATCCTGTTTACATTTACCATTTACAAATAAGACTAGCTGCATCTATTTGATGTGATATTTCAACTTTCTACTTGAATCTTAAGTGAACGCCACCTTTCATTACAAATTTTGATCATAGACAGTAATGATTAACTGGCACAAATGTATCTTTTGCAGTTAGCAAGATAATTTGTGCTCACCTGCCAGGAAATCAATTACAAAAGCACTGAAACTCGAAAAACAAACAATAAAGGGTTGCCAATGTTTTATTGTAAGAATATTTCATTATATCTCCGGATTAGTTTAAGCAAAACTTTTAGAATTTTTAAGCACATGGATTTCTGGGAAAAAATAATCAAAAAGCAGTGACAGACGTACATTTTCTGGAGAATCTCTGTCTGTTGAGGAAGCATCAACTTGGTTTGGTTCCTTCACCCTCCTTTTCTTCTTGAATCCTGCCCCACTTCCTCCTACCCCCCTCTCTCCTCCGATGGAAGCAGGGGAGCTCTTCTGCTGGAATTCCTTCAGCTGAGCAATACATGTGAAAGGAACAGGAAATACAAGTTGGCTCTTAAGGATTTTGGGGTGGCAAAAAACTTACAGAGCTCAATTAATTTTTTGCAGTATTTCTCAATATTTTTTTATAAAGATTTTTCCAGTATGTTCAGTACGGATGTGTATTGGTGAAATTCTGGCAATACGATACGTATCACGATACAGGAGAAGCGACACAATACATCACAATATATTGCGATACATTTAGTCAGTATTAGCTATTTTTTTAGACTGAATTAATTGTAGAAAACTCAATAAACAGTCCAAACTGATACTTAAACATGTTTAGCATGAGGTATCTGAACCATGGTAGCATCATCCTTCAGCTGATCCAGCCTTGTAAGCCAAGTTATTTAGTAATCTCCCTTTGAGGATCAAAATTTTTATCTGGCATTTATTTATTCAAACATTTAAATAAAAATAAATTGTGTTTACAACAGGCTAATACTAACCAAGTGCAGAAATAACCACTTTAAAAATACATTTATTTATCTAAACTGTCTGTTATTGTGAAAAATGACCAAGTACTTTCCTAAAACCTAGTCTGAAAGCATCTGATCTCTCCAAGAACGCCTTCAAAAGCTACTTTTTGTTCAAGACAACATGAGATTACAAGCAAGTCAGGCTCCTTCAGGAAGCAAAGCAGAAACAAATGAAGCATGACCAAACACAACTGTCCGCATAACTTTTAAATGACGGTGAAATATGAATGTATACATGGGCTTGGGGCCTTTAACAGCTGGGAATAATAAGCACAACTGGCGAAACCATTTTTTTATACTGATTGAATCGTACAGAAACGTCAAGATAACTCATCCCCTACATTTGTGAGGCAGAAAAAAAATGGTGACAAGGAATTTCCTTAAGCTAGCAACTGATAAGGCCATCTCACCGACAAGGCTCAAACACACCTAGCAGAGCCACCAAGCTGGGCAGAAGAGTGGTGTCAGCTGTCAAAACAGTCCCCGTCATTCCTTCCTCTTACCGAGTTTCAACGAAAACTAGCTTGTACTGTTTATTATCTTAAATGTTTGTAACTTAAAAATGTATTATGCAAACTGCTCAAACAGCCGTGTGGCTTTTCTGTGGTATTTCCCCCCTCACACGTACGTAGCCAACCACTCATTAGCAACTGAGCTAAAAGGGCCTTAAGAAAACACCGGGCTCGCCTGAACGTTGAGCCCAAAGATGACCGCGCGAGGTCGGACGCGCGAGCAAAGGGGTTGGACGACGTGTAATGTCAACATCCATGCTAGGTCAAGAAGTATTTAACAGAACAACGGTAAAATAAAAATTCAAACTAAACACAGGGTAGGTACAGCCTGTCAAATATAGCCAATGCAGTTGTAAAATACTTTACCTTTTTCTTAGCTGCAGCGAGTTTAATTTGTCTACTCTGGTCGGCCATCCTGCTGCTCTCTGCTGCTGCTGCTCGACCGACCGAACCACGTCATCAAATTGATGCTACTAGGCCTCTCTGCCGACAGGGGGCGCAAACCCCAAATACCTAAGGTTTTCCAGGCTTTTGCTTCACGCTTTATCAGAAGCTCGGCCATCCCTGTGAGCTGAAGTGGGGTTGAGAAACTGAACCACACTCCCTTAACAGTTTGATCAAATCATTTTTGTGGTCTGAAATAATATAATATAATATAATATAATATAATATAATATAATATAATATAATATAATATAATATAATATAATATAATATATTTTGTTGAATTACATGCATCAGTTTTAAATAATCCAGGGATGGTTTTTTCCTCTTTCTTTTTCTTTAGGCTAAAAACAAATAGGAAAGCAATACCTGCATGTCAAAGATTTGGAAAATTTCACAGGATACATTTTCCCTCACAATGAATAAAATAAACATTTTATCCAAAAGTGAGTCTTTTATTAACTTTACATTTAGACATTTCTAAACTAGAGTAACAGTAAAACCATTTATGAATTTTAATGCTTTCACCATAGACACAGTTTATGGAAGATGTTCAACCTTGGCCTTCAAAGGCCCCTATCCAGCATGTTTTAGTTGTTTACCTGCTGTACCACACCTGATTTAATGTTTGCACTTACCTGTTCTCTGCAGAAACCTGGCAATCATCCAGAGATTAAAATCAAAGGTACTGAAGCAGACATACCCCTACAACACACTGGGTAGGGGCTTTTAAGGACACCACTGATCTATGGGTTTCATTTCCTCTAACCTTCAGAGAGAAGCAGCATAAATCCCCCGAGAGTTGATGGTGATCATCATTTCCTATTCTTGTGCAATAGAAATTAGAAAACTTATCTGTATTTATTCAGTTGGCTAGACTTTTACTAGTTGGCTAGACCCAATTTGACTGTAAAAATGATTACACAGTGTAGTTCTGGCCATTTGTGTACTCAACCTTGAGTTTTTTCATCCTTCTTTGTATAGAATGTTGCATCATTGACTGGTTTGCTGCACATAACCTGCTTATCATGTCCAGTTTATTCAAAATAAAAACATGTGAAATAAAAGTGGTTTGTGGAGAATACTCAGGCTAAAGGATGATACATATTTAAGTTATTTTCTAAAACATATACTTGCATTTGTCTCCTACACATCTGCAACAATCCTCTGAAGAAACACCCAAGGAAGTGAGCCAATCCTCTGTTGTAACTTTAATGTTTAGTTAGTCATAGCGTCATCGTTATTTATGTCCAATCAAATATTTCTTTTCGAACAAAAATATGATAGATGTGATCAATTTGTGTAAAAATGAAGGGATAATAAAACCAAATCAAACTTTTTTCTTCTCATATTTGAAATGTTGAAATAACGCCCAGCACCGATGTTTGGATTGACACGCTGTTGCATCAACTGCGTACATGAATCAGATTGACAGACAACCAATCAGCATCAGGCACGGGAAAGTGACGTCGTTTCATGTGTGCAAATCATTGGTGGCCAGCGTGCTGGACGCCCATCTGGTGGGAAAAGGCTCAAGAATCAGCTTGTTCCAGCGACGCTGCTCAGCCAATTGCAGGGACCCACGACGGGAAAGAGTTATGGCTTATAAATAAAAAAGACGCATCAACCAGCATCATTTCATCCTGCAGAGGATAGAGAGAAGACAGAAGAAGACATTTAAGGTAAGAACGCCTTCAGAGCAAACTCGTGTGCATGGAGTAAAAACACTTTAAAATAAAAATTCAAGTTTAATTTTGTGTATATTAGTCGATATTTGCGCATAACTGGAAATGTGTGAACTAGTAAGTGAGTTATCAAAGAATCAAGTGCACTTTTACAGTCATGACCTTTTTTTCCTTTTTATGAAAGATTTTTTTTTGATTTGTGAAAGTTCAAGAAAGTTTTAATAAAATTATTTATTCAGTTTTGTGAGCTTGTGGACCACCTTAGAGCTGATCCAGTAAAAAAAAAAAGAAGTCAAAATGTAAACTGCTAAAACCTGACTTAAATATTATATTATCAGATTTTTTAAATGCCGTTTACTATTCAAACCTTAATTGATTTTTGACAAGTGAAAAATTGAACAAATCTGGCTCAGTTTTAGGCTTTTTCTTCAAAATTAGGAATGGTCAATTTTAAGAATATGTCATACAATTTAAAACTATATTTATTTTAACTAACTTCAAGAAGATTCTTTTTCACACAATCAAAAACATGTTTCACAAACTACAAACTGGGTTTTAATGATTTTTAGTTTGGATTATTTGAGTTGTTTATTGTTTATTTAATTTTAGCCAAAACAGCACTAAGCGTTACCCACACTCCATAAGTCCCCTTTTAGCAGCCATCAAAAACCTGTGTTTGATTTGTGCAAAGAACACTAATACTATTGAAGTATAGTTTATATGAAATAATAATGTGCCATTTTGATGAACACTTATGAGACATGGGGTCACATTTCACTGGAGAAAAAGCATCTAAGGCATTTAAAACACTATAAATTAGGGTTGCAGCAAAATGAAAAAGCTTGTCCAAAATCAAAAATGAGGAAACCTAGGGCGAAAACCAAAAAAACATTTTGGCTGTCACATTTTTGACACTGTTGGTCTTTTAAAATTCAGTCCTTAAAATTGAGATGTTACATGCTTTCTGCTTCCAGTCTGCCATGTGCAATGACAGAAGCATATTGACCCTTTGCACCAACGTCACCTAATCACTTGGGTCCACCATGCTGGACGGCAAAAGCATGTAAACAGTGAGCGACACGAGTACTAAACAAAGGGGAAAGTAGAGCCTGAAATAGTTTTTGCGATCAAAACAAAACTCCTCCAGCATTCCTTCAACTAGTTCATGCCCAGTTCAGTTATCAGAATAAGTAGTGCATGTAGCCGGGTCTTACCAACGTTAGCTTACGTTCTCTCTGCAGCTGTTCACCGATGTAAACATGTTGCTGACTTTGCCTAAATTCACCCCGCTGGATTTATAACACTATGTTATAAACAGCGTTTCACTTTACTCCAAAGCTGATTGTTAAAAAGTCCCTTTAGATCCCTTTAGATGGTGGTGTTACCGGGTTCAGCTGCTGCTCTCACACCAGAATGAGAAGATCTCTGAACAGTGATGCTCATATAAATAAATAAATAAATAAATAACATAATTTTAACACACGTAATCATACATCTGAGCTTTAATGTTGTTAATAATTATCTCACTTTACACTACAGTGGACGGCGCGCATCATCGGGGGTGAAATACCCATCCATCAGGATTATCAATAACTTGTATAAACACCACCTTTATCCCTGTCCCTGTCTTCCTCGTGAAATAAATGAACATTAATCTTACCCGGTAAAAACATGTTCTCTGCAAATCTGAGGGCTGCTAGTCCACTTGACGCAGCAGTTCATCTCCGTCCTCAGTCCCCATCAAAGTTATTAAAAAAACAAAACTAGTTGAGTTTACATCCTTGTCTGTTAGTGCAGCCAACAACGCAGCAAGCTAAACCCATTTTACTATCAAATCAACTAAATAAAAGCGATAAAAGGCTACAAACTGGCTTGTTTTGACTAGCTTCACTGGAGTTTCAACGGGTGTAAATGATCTTTTTGCCGTCCGTCATGGCGAAGGGGGCAGTCACATGAGTGGCGTGACGTCACGTGCAAAGGGTCAGTTAATAGCTGCATGAGCAAGGGGACACACATTGATTCAGATTGTTTTCAAGCATCCGATTTGCTTTTATTTTGCAGTTTTTCTCATATTCACGCCTATCAAAAAGAGAAGATGACGCTGTTGTGGATGGTTATGATTGTGGTCGGCACCGTGTTTGCCAATGATGACGGCGAGAAGGAGAATGTGGGGACTGTGATTGGTATTGACCTGGGAACCACCTACTCATGGTAATGAATTAAATAAATGCAGTTTTTTGAAGTTTCAGAGGACATTTGCAATGCCCCTATTGCATTCAAATAGGAGGTTATGGTAGTCTAAAATGTTTTTTACTTCCAGTGTTGGAGTCTTCAAGAATGGCCGTGTTGAGATCATTGCCAATGACCAGGGAAACCGCATCACTCCATCCTACGTGGCGTTCACCAGTGATGGTGAACGTCTGATTGGTGATGCTGCTAAGAATCAGCTGACCTCTAACCCCGAGAACACAGTTTTTGATGCCAAGAGACTGATTGGCCGGACTTGGGGCGACTCTTCTGTTCAGCAGGACATCAAGTACCTGCCCTTCAAGGTGAGTGTCTGTTGATGGTGGCTACAGTAAATGTCACAGTTGTGTTAATTTTAGTTTATGTGATGAGTTTGCACCTTTTCTAATTTAATTTTTCTTTTTAGGTTCTTGAAAAGAAGAGCTAACCCCATATCCAGGTTGACATTGGCGGTGGCCAGATGAAAACTTTTGCCCCTGAGGAGATCTCTGCCATGGTCCTCACCAAGATGAAGGAGACCGCTGAGGCTTACTTGGGCAAGAAGGTAAAAACAAAAGTAAAATAATAAGCAAATCAAAGGAAATAAGGTTTCAGATATTTGACCCTTATTTTCTAATAAGGTCACACATGCTGTGGTCACCGTTCCTGCCTACTTCAATGATGCTCAGCGTCAGGCCACAAAGGATGCTGGAACCATTGCTGGTTTGAACGTCATGAGAATCATCAACGAGCCGTAAGTTACAAACAAGACGTAAAATCTTTGGACATTAATGTTGTCCTCTTTTAAAAGTATAATGTTTGTTTGTTTGTTGTTTTTTAATCCAGAACTGCTGCTGCCATTGCTTATGGCCTGGACAAGAGGGATGGCGAGAAGAACATCCTTGTTTTTGATCTGGGTGGTGGCACCTTCGACGTCTCCCTCTTGACCATTGATAACGGTGTCTTTGAAGTGGTTGCTACCAATGGTGACACCCATCTGGGAGGTGAGGATTTCGACCAGCGTGTCATGGAGCACTTCATCAAGCTGTACAAGAAGAAGACTGGCAAAGATGTGCGCAAAGACAATCGTGCTGTGCAGAAGCTGCGTCGTGAGGTTGAGAAGGCCAAGAGGGCCCTTTCTGC